AAACTAACAAATAAGGTCTTTTTTAGTCAGATTCCCAAAACTAAGTTGATCATGTTCTTTATGAAAATGGAGCCATAAATCATGAATTGCTCGATTCACATCTCCACTAGGATGCATCTTAAAATTCAATAGAAGATTATCTAAAGATTCCTTATGCTTTGAAATAAATCCTAACTTTTGATAATTTTCACAAGCTTTGCAGAACACATATGTGTCTTTGAACATGGTGGGTCAATAGAATCCATATTTTAAGACTTTTGCAGTCGTTTTTTTTATGAGAAATGACTCTTATATGCCTTAAAACCAAAATTTAATGACACTAATTACCTTATTGTTCACAAATTAAAATATGTAACATATTAAAATTGACAGATTAACAACAATGTAACAATGTTAACATATCAAAATATAAAAACCCAACATATTAAATCTCATAATTTAAAAACAAAGTCAAGACATAAAATTCTCAGTTTAACAAAACAATCCTGATCCTCGCACCTCGTTGCAGGGTAATGAATTCCACCATTATTTCACCATAAACCAAGAAAACAAATCTCCGGAGGCTTCATGCCACCGAGTTAGGTTTCTATATAGAAGAAGTGGATCCAGAATTGTTCAGTCTTTTTCTTTATGTTGACTGTGATTTCAAGCTCCAACAGAAAATGGAACAATCAAATGACCACTTGCAATCTTTCTTGAACATTTGCATCGCTGATTACTCAGATATCAGTTTTATATATTTTTTTTATATTTAAAAAAAAAAATTTAATTTTTTTCTTTACTTTAAATTAATTTTTTACTAGTATGATTTTTTTCCCAAAACATGATGATGTTTTATAGAGGGCTATTCATTCTTGCTTCATGAACGATGCTTGCTCCGTATAGGAAGCACTATTAAAGATAATGGGAAAAGAAAGTAGAGGACAAGAGGAAAATTAGAAAATTCATTAGCTAATATTTAAAAACAATCAACAACATGAAATAATATACACTTGATTATTCATCTTATATGTAATAATAATAATAATAAATATTCATGTTTCTCTATTTTAGAGAATATGGGCGTGATTATATTTTAAAAAAAGTTAGCTACAATGGTTTTTCTGATATTCTAAATATGTTTGAGAATATGATTTTCATTGTTTTTTAAAATAATTTTTATTTGAAAATATATTAAAATAATTTTTTTTTATTTTTAAATCTGGTCTTATTCTAAAAAGAAAATTCTTTATACTTCATATTCATCTATACTAGTAGTACTCTCCAAGTCATTCTTTAATCATTAGAATAAGTCTTACATAGGGGTTGCCTTCAACTAGTGCAGTTTATATAAGTAGAGTGGTCATTGGAAGGCTCAACGTCTCAAATTAAAACAATAGTATCAAGCTTAGAAGTTTGGCAGCCAGT